TTGTGTCCAGGGGCTCGGCCTTGGGGTGCTTCTGGATCCTGGTTGCCTCCTGCCTGGCTGCCTTGTGCCCTCTAGGCAGTCTCTCCCATGGCGTAGGGGCCCCTGGGAAGAGGCTGAGCCCACACAGGGCTACCCCTTGCAGCTGCATCTGTCTGAGCCACACCTGAAGTGTGAGGGGACTATAGTTGGGGGTTGATCTGGGACCAGGGCTGATGCTGACCTTAGGCTTAAGTTTGGGGGCAGACAGAATGTCTGGAGCTCTCTCTGACCCTGGTCAGATGTACTTAGACCTCTGGGGTGTGGAAGTTCCTTTGTAGCCCTGCCCTGCCCAGCATGGTTTCACAGTCTGGCATGCTTGTCCCTCCCACCTGGCAGTGGAGCTCCGGTGGGCTGTGGGTGGCCTTGCTCATTCAACAGTCTTGGCATCAGCTGGAGGGGTCCCATTTTACTGTTAATTTGTTTAGGCTGGGAGGTGGTTAAGGTGCAGCTCCTTGGAGGTGGGCTGGGAGGAGCTTCTCCTCAGTCCTCCAGCATAGCCCCAGGCCTCCTGCAGGAAGCACCTTTGTGGGGAAGTAAGGCATGACTTCTGGGGAGGAAGGTGGATGAGAAGGATCCTAGGAGGGCTGGGTGGGGAGGCCTGCTTGGGGCAGCCCCCTTTCCTGGTCTTCACCCCCCTCCCTAGGCCTCCCTCCTGGCTGGGTGTAAGCCAGAAGAAGTTTCAGCCTGGGTGCCTGTGGTGGCCTCCAGTAGGGCACTTTCTGCCTGTAGGAGCCAGACATTGAAGGTAGGGTGTCATGTGGCTGAGACCACACCCTGATTTTGACCCCCACCTGTGGGCCTGGAGGCAGGCATGAGATGTGTTTCTGTCTCCTGGTGGCAGGGCCACCAGCCTGGCCTCCAGAAGGAGCCATGTGGAGGCCCAGTACTGGGAGCAGTTCTGAGTGCCTGGCCTCTTGGAGGCCAAGGCTCTGGGCAAGGTGGGTGTCAGAATGGGGGCTGGAGTTCTCTGTTTTCTGCCTCAGCAGGGATCACTTTGATCTGAAAACCTCCTCTCTCCTGGCCTTTGAAAGATACCGACCAGAGCATACTCTCCTGCCCTTTGCTGGGTGCTTAGAAAGGCCTTGAGGTGACCCTGTTTCAGTCTCCCCATGGGCCCCTGCAGCCACATGGACTGACCAGAGGCTCCACATTTGGGCAGGTGTGGTCTGACCTCACTTAGGATCGTGGGCTAGTGGGTCCCCCAATGAAGGGGGCTGCTCCAAGTGTCAGGAGGCAGTAAGGGGTGCACAGAGCCCTGGCCTCTGCCGTCCCCATTGGCAATTTGGCCAATCTGCATTCAGGGAGCGAGTAGAGGGATCTAGGGTGCATGGGGAGGTGCATGCAGGGTGGTTTTGGCCTGGGACTTTGACTGCCCTCCAGAGATGCACTGTGAGGGCTGCCCAGCTAGGGAGCAGACGGGAGGGACAGGGACCTTTTCCCACTGTGCCCTTCCAAGCTGCTTCCCTGTCACCCTTGGTCTCAGTGCCAGTTGGAAAATTGAGGCAGAACTCAATCAGGCATTCAACAGTGCCCAGTAAAGGTTAGTGGTGATTCCCGGAGGGAATGTCGGGGTATTGTGCTGAGCTGCTGAGATGGGAATGTCCTGTGAAAACGTCTGTCTAGAGGTTCATTTCATTTGGAGTTGAAGTTTACATGCGGTGAAGTGCGTAAAATTATGTTTTCATCTACCTTAACCCTGACTCCCAGCAAGATAGAGAGCTGCCCTCACCCCAAAAAGTTCCTCATGCCCCGTCCTGGACAGTCCTCAACCTGTCTCTCACAGCCTGTTCTGATTTGGTTTTTATCCTCAGTCCATTTTGCCTATCTAGAACTTGATGTAGTTGGAGTCATGCAGTCTGTACTCTTCTTGCAAAAGGCTTCTTCCACTTGGTGCCACAACTGTGAGGTTCATCCATGTCTCTGCATCATTTCTGCCCTTTGTATTTTTAGGGTTTTTTTTTTTTTGAGACGGAGTTTCGCTCTTGTTACCCAGGCTGGAGTGCAATGGCGCGATCTCGGTTCACCGCAACCTCCGCCTCCTGGGTTCAGGCA